TGAGCAGACAACATAGATTCAAAGATATTACAGCTGCAGTTATTAAAGGCACCACAAGTACAACGAAATATTGGCCTGTAGGTGATGTATTCATCCCAAAGAGACTTGAAAGAATTATAATATTGGGTAATATTGAGAGCACCCTGGTCCACGGAACTAAGGGATTTTTCAAGTTGGAAAACCCTAGGACCACTACTCAAAGCATATCGAGATTTCAGTTCTTCCCACACATCTTTGGCAGAGGTAAAAAACAACAATGATTGCCTAATGTCCTTATTCACAGAGTTTAATAACCAGGAAAGGACTAGGTTATTAGCACGTACCCAGGCAACATATAGAGCAGGATGAGTAGAAGAAGATGGGATTGAAATTGTACCGTCGATAAAACCGGATTTATTCTTGACACTGAGTGCCATAAGCACAGCGCGGGACCAGGAAACGTAATTGTCACCGGAAAAGGACTCAACAACGATCAGTGCGCCGGGATTGTCACTCGGATGGAGGAAGAACGGCGAGGATGGATCATCAGTAGGTGGAACAACAACCATGACTGAATATATGAACAGATCTGGAACGGCGAGGGTGAATCCAAGTAATAGGAGATCAGAATCAAGGAGATCTGACCAGTATAGTGTATAGAACGATCGATATGTTAATGAATCTGGACAAATATGTAGATCCAGAAACCCTAACACGATCGATGTCGAGCAAAATCGAAAAAAAATCGATAAAACAAAGAGTAATATGTAGCGATCTAGATGCGGAAGCGAAAAAACAGATCAAAAACCTGGCTCTGATACCATATTAAGATCATGAATCCAGAATTACAGAGAGAAAACTGAAGAACAGCGGAAGAAAATTAGAGAGAACTTTTATTCAGAACTTGTAAAAATGAAAAGTGTCTTGAAACCCTAATGCAACAACTATTTATACTCTAACAATACAACTGAAAGTGCTAATACAAGAAACACGGTTTTGTTACAACAATACTAATAGAAAGGAAAAGACATGAAAACCCTTATACATTAATACTTATGAAACTCGAAATTCACTTATAAGCTATTTGCTAGCTTAACGGCCAGGTTTACGAAACATACCGTAAATGAAATACATTTTTTTTTTTTGGTAACTAAACTAACCTTCGAAAGTTTATGTAATAATCCGTATCAATGAAAAACTGAAAATATCTCACTTTCTGTTATTTCATTTTCGTGTGCTATAACTTGTGCTTAAATAAAACATATCGTCTTCTTGTGGCTTTCAGTAGAAAGAGAGATTCGGCCACGACACATCCTTTTCGAAGAAGAACAAACGTCCATTCACGAGCGAGGCATTTGTACAAGAATCTCACTCGAGGAAGAGGAATCTGCTTTTGAGTATGTAGAGGCTGTTCTACTCGGTTCGGGTCTGAACTGGGACGAGTTCCTCCTGAGATGGATTTCCTCGTACGAAATCCTCGACTCCTCACTATTCGACGAGGTCGAGCTGTTCTCGAGCCGGCCCCACCACGACCAGAAACTGCTCTTCGACTGTGCTAACGAGGCTTTAGAGGAGGTGTGCGAATGTTACTTTGGGTGCTTTAATGGAATACCGTGTGCTAAGCCTAACATTAGGCCAGTGCCCAAAGGGATGGACCTCATCAACGATGTGTGGAGAAGGGTCGAGCAGTGGCTTATTCAGAATTCAGAGTCTCTGCCTCTTGAGGGGCTCGTCAAAAGAGACCTTTCGGGCTCAAAATGGATGAATGTCCAGCCGGAAATCGAGTTTATTGTTTACGAACTTGAGGAGATGGTTTTTGATGAGTTGGTGGAAGAAGTTTTACTTCCGTATGGAGATTGTGCTTTCGAGTGTGAGTTTGACATGCCGTGAAGCTGTGGAGGATGTCGACTTGTACATGTAATAACCAATTTGTTTCGAACTAATAATTCTGTACCGGGTGGTACCCTTTTAGGCTTCGTATCGTGTGGCTTTGGTTTTTTATGAGGTCGCTTAAATCTTACGATGGTGCTTTGTTTTTCGTGTTAGAAGAGTTACGAATAATGGGTCCTTTCTCGACACCAAAGCCTCCAATGGTGTAATCAGTGTGTGTGCTTTTAGGTGTGTTTTGGCTATAAGGTATGCAACTTATGTAAGAAATTATGACTGTCTAACGGTTAGGAAGTCTAACAACCGTATTTGCAGACTTCCAATTAAACAAAGAAAATGAATATGAAGTACTCTTTAAGAAACCAACTTTTACAGTTTATGATTTATTTTTGTCATCTGAGTTTTTTAAATTGCAATGCTTTGTATTTGTAAATAGTTTAAAAATATTTATACTTACATAAGTATCCTTCTCTCGAGGAAGGCACGTCTCATCTTTTTCGTTAAATTTGTAGCAAATGTAACAACATTCCCCAGAAAATCTTGACGGAACAAGCTCATGAACTATTTGTATAGCGCTTCAATAAGCTACATGATAGAGATGACTCAAAATACAAAGCAATTAGCGAAGATCATTGACATGTTTTTACAATAGCATTTATTTGTATATAATATAATTAATTATCTAGCTACATCGTTCTCAGGACTCATTGTCTTTTGTATCTTGCTTGTCTTCAAGTTCAATTGGAACTCTTTGTCCATGTGTGATTTTACACCACATTTATATAATATCTAGAGCTTATTCACTGCATTATTGTGTATAAATCGAATTATTGTGCTTTAATTTTATATCTTGTTGAGAAGTTATTACACGTGATTGTTTTGTACGAACTTTTGTATTTTTGTACAGATTTGGGATACGGAGTCGCATGGTGAGTACCTAAGACCTAACAAGAGGAGGAGCCTATAACACACAAGAAAAGCAATTCAGAAGCAAAGAAGATCTAAATACGAAGGAATCAAGGAGATTGAGAGATCGACGAGATTCCTAATTTTTATTTCTTCTTTCGTTTGAACTTTTATTTTATCATGTCGATTTTCAATATGTATATGTATTTGATTTCGAACATGAGTGACTAGATTATTTGATTCTAAGACTTTATAATAGATTAATATGTTGTGATTTTGGATAATTTATTTATGATTAATTGTTTTTTCTTTTGAACACTCTGCAAATATTTTGTTCTTATTTCATGTTTAGCACTCGATCAATGCTTTTACATGTTTGATAATATTGTTCATAATTTGATAGATGAGTTCAATATTAGGTCTCTCTATAAAGGCAAACAAGTTTTTGTATCCTAGTGTTTTGATGGGTATTAAACAATGTGGATGCCAAAAATTACAAAAAATACCATAGTATATAAGAATTAACCAATGTTTGATACTAAAAGTTATATTGTCATTTCAACTTTAACATTAGTGGTTGAAAGAAATCCAACATTAACTTTATAGTTAAAAAATTATATAAAAAAGCCATAATTTATCGACCTCATAACGATTACAAAAATATTTATAGAAAATCTTACAAAATCTTACAAGAATATTTACAGAAAAAATCTTACAAAAATCTTGATAGCTAGTCATGGGTAAAAAATGCGAAGAAACTTAGTGGAAAAGAATAAGAAAAATCTATTAATATATAATACGGATTAACATAATTCACTTTTAGAAACTTTTTCTCGTCAATTTCATTAATTACCTTCTATATAAAGAAATATCACACACGTTAATCATTAATTGCTTGAGCTAGTTTGCCGTGAAAAAAGGAAATACCTTTGTAATTTATTTTGTAAAATCCAGTTTTTTAATTAGATTGCCGTGAGAAAAAGAAATGGATTTGTAATTTATTTTGCCAAATTCACTTTTTGAGTTAATCCTTCCCTTATGCAACACATTTCTGCATATGGATAGCACAAGAATGATTTAAATATACACAAATTCATTATCATAGAAACATTCTGTTTTTATTAATTTTTTTACACGTGACATTTTTTTTTGTTGTTAAATTTTTTACACTAATCATGGTAACAATATTTTAAAGTGCTATAACAAAAAAAAAAAAAAAAATCCAAAATTTTATCTTTAATGAAAAATTAATTTACAAGCTTTTATATCATGTGAATAAATCACATAATCCAACATAAAATTATTATTTTTTTAACATATAGTTATGCAATATATACAACTTAAATAATAATTTAAAAGAAACAAATATATTGTAAAGATTTCATTTCAAAGTTATATAAAAAAAAAGTAATGAAATTTGTAAAGAAATTGGTCACAAAAGTTTATGGGGATGGACTGTGGTATTGTAGCATAAGGATGATTTAAATATACCCGAATTCATTATCATAAAAAAATATTTTTTTTTCTTTTTTTTTTTAAACGTGACAATTTTTTTTTTGTTAATATTTTCACACTAACCATGGTAACAATATTTGAAATGGGAATGCTATAATGAAAAAGAAAAAAATACAAAATTTAATATTTAATGAAAAATTAATTTACATTTTTTTATATACATATAAATAAATTGCATATTTCAACGCAAAAATATAATTTTTTATCATACGGTTATGTCGTATTATACAACTTAAAATAAATATATTGTAAAGATTTCATTTCGGAGTAATACAAAGAGAGTAATCAAATTGGATACAAATTGAACACATATTATTCACATGTAATATTTTGTATATTTTAAACATGTTATATATATATAATGAACTATATATAACAAAATAATATATATTAATAAATTATCATTAATATTTTTTTTAGAGAGAGAGAGAGAGAGAGAGAGAGAGAGAGAGAGAGAGAGAGAGAGAGAGAGAGAGAGAGAGGATCATTTTCATTAATTTTTTTTAGACATGTTTTACTTACAAAATAATTTAGAAAAAAACTAGGTGATCTCATATTTTTTTAAGAATAATATAGAATATTTTAGGTAACCTTATATATGTTATATAACAGTTTAAGTATTTTTAATATTTTAAACATACATGTTTAATGTTATTTTAAACAAGATAAAAAAGTGTAAAATATTTATACGTTTATGTACTTTATTTAATTACAATAAACCAACTTTTACAGTTTATGATTTATTTTTGTCATCGAATTTTAAATTGCAATTGCTTTGTATTTGTAAATAGTTTAAAAATATTTATACCTACATAAGTATCCTTCTCTCGATCTCATCTTTTTCGTTAAATTTGTAGCAAATGTAGCAACATTCTCCAGAAAATATTGACGGAACAAGCTCATGAACTATTTGTATAGCGCTTCAATAAGCTACTTGATAGAGATGACTCAAAATACAAAGCAATTAGCGAAGAGCATTGACATGTTTTTACAATACCATTTATTTGTATATAATATAATTAATTATCTAGCTACATCGTTCTCAGGACTCATTGTCTTTTGTATCTTGCTTGTCTTCAAGTTCAATTGGAACTCTTTGTCCATGTGTGGTTTTACACTATATTTATATAGTATCTAGAGCTTATTCACTGCATTATTGTGTATAAATTGAATTATTGTGCTTTAATTTTATATCTTGTTGAGAAGTTATTACACGTGATTGTTTTGTACGAACTTTTGTATTTTTGTACAGATTTGGGATACAGAATCGCATGGTGAGTACCTAAGACCTAACAAGAGGAGGAGCCTAGAACACACAAGAAAAGCAATTCAGAAGCAAAGAAGATCTAACTACGAAGGAATCAAGGAGATTGAGAGATCGACGAGATTCCTAATTTTTATTTCTTCTTTCTTTTGAACTTTTATTTTATCATGTCGATTTTCAATATGTATATGTATTTGATTTCGAACATGAGTGACTAGATTATTTGATTCTAAGACTTGATAATAGATTAATATGTTGTGATTTTGGATAATTTATTTATGATTAATTGTTTCTTCTTTTAAACCCTATGCAAATATTTTGTTCTTATTTCATGTTTAGCACTCGATCAATGCTTTTACACGTTTGATAATATTATTCATAATTTGATAGATGAGTTCAATATTAGGTCTCTCTCTAAAGGCAAACAAGTTTTTGTATCCTAGTGTTTTGATGGGTATTAAACAATGTGGATGCCAAAATTTATAAAAAATACCATAGTATATAAGAATTAACCAATGTTTGATACTAAAAGTTATATTGTCATTTCAACTTTAACATTAATGGTTGAAGGAAATCCAACATTAACTTTATAGTTAAAAAATTATATTAAAAAGCCATAATTTATCGATCTCATAACGATTACAAAAACATTTACAGAAAATCTTACAAAATCTTACAAGAATATTTACAGAAAAAATCTTACAAAAATCTTGATAGTTAGTCATGGGTAAAAAATGCGAAGAAACTTAGTGAAAAAAAATAAGAAAAATCTATTAATATATAATACAGATTAATATAATTCACTTTTAGAAACTTTTTCTTGCCAATTTCATTAATTACCTTCTATATAAAGAAATATCACACACGTTAATCATTAATTGCTTGAGCTAGTTTGCCGTGAAAAAAAGAAATGCCTTTGTAATTTATTTTGTGAAATCCTGTTTTTTAATTAGATTGCTGTGAGAAAAGGAAATGGATTTGTAATTTATTTTGCCAAATTCACTTTTTGAGTTAATCCTTCCCTTATGCAACACGTTTCTGCATATGGATAGCACACGAATGATTTAAATATACACAAATTCATTATCATAGAAACATTCTGTTTTTATTAATTTTTTTACACGTGACATTTTTTTTTGTTGTTGTTAAATTTTTTACACTAATCATGGTAACAATATTTTAAAGTGCTATAACAAAAAAAAAAAAAAAAAGATCCAAAATTTTATCTTTAATGAGAAATTAATTTACAAGCTTTTATATCATATGAATAAATCACATAATCCAACATAAAATTATTATTTTTCTAACATATAGTTATGCAATATATACAACTTAAATAATAATTTGAAAGAAATAAATATATTGTAAAGATTTCATTTCAAAGTTATAAAAAAAAAGTAATGAAATTTGTAAAGAAATTGGTCACAAAAGTTTATGGGGATGGACTGTGGTATTGTAGCATAAAGATGATTTAAATATACACGAATTCATTATCATAAAAAAATAATTTTTTTTTCTTTTTTTTTGAACGTGACAATTTTTCTTGTTAATATTTTCACACTAACCATGGTCGTAACAATATTTTAAATGGGAATGCTATAATAAAAAAGAAAAAATACAAAATTTAATATTTAACGAAAAATTAATTAACATTTTTTATATACATATAAATAAATCGCATATTTCAACGCAAAAATATAATTATTTTATCATACGGTTATGTCGTATTATACAACTTAAAATAAATATATTGTAAAGATTTTATTTCGGAGTAATACAAAGAGAGTAATCAAATTGGACACAAATTGAACACATATTATTCACGTGTAATATTTTGTATATTTTAAACATG